AATTTGTTTATATATTAAAAAAAGGTACATGCTTTTCACATGCGGGGTAAATATTATTTTTAAATTATTCAAGAAAAAATAATAGGTATCTTTTAGTTTTATACCAAATGACCTGGCTATGTTGATGCTGTGACATATCTAGATGTCTACCAGAGCCTCCTGTGTTCATAGATGGGGCTTTTGGGAGGTGGCTGTATCTATGGTGTGTGATTATGGATTAAGGGTGTGTGTGATAACTAAAGGGTTAAGAATAGTTCGGGGTGTGGATAATGGAAGCCCCACACTGGGTGTGAGTGGCACACACATAGCCTGGATGGGATGAAAGGGAAAGGAAGGCTCATTGCTTTCTGGTTTGTTGCTTCATTCTAACTCTGCCATGGACTGTTTGTCCCCTGCCATGCCTTTCTGCCATGCCTCCCTTCCTTGGAGCCAGCTGACTATGGACTGAAACCTCCAAACTATGAATTAAAATAAACCTTTCCTCCTTTAACTTGTGAGTGTCAGGTATTTTGTCTCAGCAATGAGAAAAGTGACTAAGATAGTCCATTATAGCAACCTTTAAATGAAGAAATCTATGTTAAAAATATGGATTAAAATAGAAAAGCAGGATATTATTCAATAAGACTTTGTCTTTATTTCTTATGCTTGTAACTAGTAATATCTTTACAATTCTATTGGGGAAAAAATTCAGTGCATTTTGTACTTACCTACAATGTCCTTCATAAGGCCTACAATACTCTCATCTCCTATAATCCAAGGACGTTTTCCTACATCATGACCATAGGCTCCTCTGAAATTGAAAAAGAACATAAACATTTCTTAACTGTGTGTGTGTGTGTGTGTTTCTGTATGCATGTGTGGCTGTGTGTATGTGTTGTCAGATATTAGCTTTGGCAAGTAGTCATTTCTATGTGGGTTTTTGTAATATTTAAGTAACTATATAAACATTGCTATTTTAAAAACAAGAAGTAATTCTCAGAAAGCCCATTTTATAACTTGACTTTTTATTTCATTTTTGTTGGAGGACGGATGGGATTGCTCATACTACTTTATTATTTTGCTATATTTTAAAGTCTAAGATGTTATTATTTTCCTTTATTATTTTCTCTTTTATTTCAAAAATTTGAAGAATATTCGACACTTTTATACTTGTAACATACTTTTATACTTTGTATCTAAACAAAAAAGTTATGTGCTACTTTTTTAGGCTAGAGACCAAATGATTATAAATTAAATTTTAAAATGTTTCTACATTCTTTATGTCAAATAGTTGTGTATAAAATGTGACTCTACTCATAATGACATTTTAAGGAAAATAATAAGCTTAGTTATAGTTAAATCCAACACAACACATTGCTACTTGCTAGCAATTCATCTCTTATACTCCATTTATATGTATTATGCTAGCAAATATTCTAGTGAACATATGGAAAAACACAAATGTATCAGAATACTTTAAGTCTCAAGAAGTTTCCATTAAGTGAGAAAGAAAAATGCACTTGACAAACATGAAAGAAACTGAAACAAAGAAAAAAGGGAAGTCCAAGTGCCTTGCATGCTATTATGTACTTGTATCTTATACATCTCTGAATTAGATTGTCCTCAGGCCAAACCTTTGCAGGTTTCGAAGAGAGGAATGTGCTTATTCCTTTTTTAATGCAAGCCTGTGTTTAAATACACCGAAATTTAGTAAACCAGCAGTAGTGGGCTGGCACAGCTGCTTCAAAAAGGGAGAGGAGACTGGAGTATTGGAGAAAGGAAATCAGCCTTTGCAGATTTTCATGATATAAATTCTCCTGACATGGAATTTCATGCTACCAACAAAATTCTGAATGTTGAACAATTGGCTTTCACCACTTAGTACAAACCAGCTGCCTGTCTCTGTCGGTATGAGACCATACTTATTAGATGCTAATAGGGCTTAACTCCACATTTGTAAAAGCAAATGAATGACAATATGTATCTTAAAGGGTCACCATAAAAAAATAAATGAAGTAACATATAAAAGGCACATATCCCTTTGCTGTGACTTCTTTCCTAATGAAAATCTAATACTAAAATTCCCTTCATCAGCATGTGGTGCATGACAATTTTTAAACTAATATTTCCATTACCATATAAACTAACATGAAGGAAGACCATTTTCATGCAGAATAAACATGGTCTGCTAAGAAGGAAGGGAGAAGGGCAATTATTGGTTATTATTATTAAATAGCCTGTAGCTTGCCTTTTCCTTGACTTCCAATATAAATGCTAAGACAAAAATCATTATCATTAAATGGTAGTTAAAGGCAGATACTTGGATCCTTTTTTATTTTAACCACATAGAGCTCCATGGCCCTTGCTGATAGATAGCACAATACATCTTATTACACTGAGGTAGTAAAATTCTACATTCTGCCTCAGAAAATTTACATCTCAGAACATGATGCCACCTACTCCTTACTTTGGTAGATACATGGCAATAATCTTTAAAGATTCATTACTTCCTGTACAGTTTGGCATTTCCCTCCCTTTAAAAAATCACATATCAAGTCTGCTTCCTCATTTTGTCAGCCTGCTAGCCTGTAGTAGTGAAATGCATTTAAAAAGCGTTATCCAGATAAACTTGAAGTAAAGTGGCCTGTCATTAGAAAGAGTTGATGTAGATTAAACTGCAGTTCTAAACATATGTATTAGAGTTAAGTAAAATGTTATATTACTCTCTTTCAAAGCTGCTTAAAGTAGTTGTTGCATAGCTACAATCTTCTTTTACAAATGCTGGAAAAGAGAAAAGAGAGCATGAGAGAGTTAATTTATTACTACAGCATAAATCATTCCCATGCGTGGTGTGTTCTCTAAGATGTGTATGAGCAATATTTGCTCATGAAATTAGATTGCAGGATATAAAAGCTAATTGTGAAGTTAATAGAAACTTGGATGCTCTTTACAATAAGGCCATGTTTGAACCATCTTCCAAAATGAAAAGTTGCCCTACCTTTAGGGAACTTTCCACTCATGAGTAAATAAATAAATTTTCACAGCCTTCCTTAATGATATCACAAACTTTTCCCATTAATTTATGATTAAGCAAGATAGGTGTTGGCAGGTCTTTGTAACATGTCATAACATGTATTTTCTTATACTTTCTTTCCATGCAGATTTTTTAAAAAGAAAGGCTTATGTTGAGTAAGACTAGTGCAGGGGTATTGAGGAAAATCATTCCATGCTTCCTCAGTGTTACATCCACACACACACATTGGTTGAAAAGTAAGTCACTGTCTGTCAAATGGTTTATTTGCATCTGATACAGAATTCAGTGGGCTATTTTCCTGTCTAAACAATCCTACCTAAACTGTCATTCTTCTTATAAGATTCCTATGGAGACACAGAAGTAGCAAGTGTTTACTCTTATGAAAAAAAGAGAACATCATTTATCTAGCAGATTTAACAATTCAGGTGATTTAAATACTGTCATTTCATCTCAAAGCCATAATATCTATTTCTCAAATTATAATGTGCCCTTTAGGACTGATCATTGTGATTGTTAAGCTATGCTATTCTCTTTTAAATAATACAGGCCATTAGTAAATAATTAATGTATAATATTCCTCACAAATTATTTAAGCTTATAGCATACTGATTTTAGCAGACCTACAGGGTTAAAGTATATTATTGCCTTTTGTTATTATAGTACCATTTTGCTAATAATTATTATAAATCAAATAGGTACAATCACTTTAAATGTTTTCTATTTCAGAAAGCAAAATTATCGAAATGTTTTTATTTCCCAAAACAAATGTATTGTTCACAGCAAATTATTAATCAGCTGTAGAAACTCAAGTTTAAAATGAAGTTTCAGAATAGTAATAACCATTGTAAAACAGGCACAGAGGTAAGTGTACCTAAGGAATCTGAACTTTCCTTATCAAATGGAATTTTAGAAGAAATCATTCGCATCCTGCAATTGTTTGTGTGTGTCTCTTCAAAATTCATAAGTTGAAATTTAATCAACAATGTGAGGGTATTAAGAAGTGAGAGCTTTGGGCAGTGACTTAGGGTTATTCCCTCATGAATAGGAATAACATCCTCATAAAGAGGTGGGATGAAGGTGTTTTCTCCTCTGCTATGGAAAAACAGAGCAAGAAATTCCATCTTGGAAGCAGAAAGCTGCCTTCATCAGACATCAAATGAATCTACTGAACTCTTGGTCTTGCAGAATAGTGACAAAATAATTTTCTGACTCATAAATTATTCAGTCAGGTATTTTGTTAGAGCAGAAGGAACAGACTAAATCAAGTCCATATATACATATGTACTTCTGTGATTTTTTTTTTTTTTTTCTGGTACCAGGAATCAAACTCAGATCCTTGAGCTTGCAGGGCAAGCAGCGAAACCACTGAGTTAAATTGTGGGCCCACATATGTACTTCTAGACTTGACTTTCCTTTAATGAAAGTAATCAGGATGGTGGCCATATAAATCACATGGACAAGCTGCCTTATGACCAGAAATAAACTGTTGGCAAGTTTGATAAACACAATAGGCCATAAACAGGAAGAAAATGACAACCATGACCAAATGGCATTTCCTATTTTATAGGCACTGGATGACCAGAATCTTGACATCCCTGAGTGATATCTTATTTTGTCAAAGCATGCTAACCTTTAATGATATTGTTAGAATTATACATTTTTACTTTGTTTTCCAATCCAACAACTAACTTCAAGATGCATTAGACTGTTTAGTAGATGTGTAGCTGTGGTTGACTCATCATCTTCCACTGGCCAGGACGAGGAAACCCTAGCTTGACTTGAGGATCAGCCAGAGTAGGACAGAAGTGGGGTTGAAGGCACCCAAGAAGAATTGGTGATGAATCACAACTTACCACAAGTCCCTGGACTTAGAGGCAAACTGAATCCATGTAGGGATGTTTAGTACAGAAAACACTACTCAGAAAAGGAACTGAAAAAGCCAACAGTCCACCAAAGTACCATGAAGAATATTTTAAACTGAAAACATCTGGCCAATAAGCAGCTGAGAAAGAAACATAATCTGAACTTGAGAAGAGACCCTAATACTATAGCTGCTGTTGACTCACTCTGAGGGAAGATGAGCAGAAGCCCATAGAGGAACAAATTCATCTGACCTTAATCTCTTTCCTGAGGAGTTACCACCAGGCATAACATCGCCCATTAACATAAGCATCAGTATGAAAAAGCCCAGTAGAAACTTTCATATTTTCCCATGGAAATCCTAAAACTATTTCCTTAAGCTGGTATGTAAATCCTGTCTCTGGCTATTTGGTGTCACTCCTTGTAGAGTTCTACCTGCCTGTGAAATGAACTTTCCTCCTGTTAATGTTTCCTCCTCTCAATGTTTCCTCCCATTAATGTCTGTTGTCAGTTAATATTTAAGCTCTCCCAAGTCCTAACTTAGTGGAGGGAAAGAATTCTTCCAAACAGATACTTAGGTGGAAAGTCCAGCAGTGGGATTTTAAATTATATATTTTGAAGTAAAAAAATCATAACAGACATGGACTTTGGGGATCAAAGGTAGAGGTGAGGCAAAAGAGAATAGTAATAAAATTATGCATCTCAAACACCACTGATATTTAGAAGGGAGCTGAACGATGATAGTGGCTGGATTACTATACCTTTAAGGAAGAAGCCAAAGTAAAACAAAGCAATTTTGTGGTTGATATCTTTTGTTCAGAAAAAATATTTATTAGTTTACATTGTCTGAAGCATGAAAATGAAGCTCCTTTCTGAAGCATTTATCTAATGTAAACTAGCTAGGAAGATTTAATTGAAACTAAGCAGTGTCTATTTTCATAAGGTAGAATATAAAAACAAGGTAGAATATAAGAACAATAAATGATATGACAGAGAAGCACTTTCTGGAGATATAATGTTAATGTCTTGAAAAATAATCAACCATTTCCTTACTAATACATAATCTCAAGGATATGAATAGAATATCAGGGCAGCATCTTCTTTAAATGTCTCAAGAATAAAAATGCACAGCCTTACCGAATGAATATCCAAGAGGCAAGGACACTCTCTAAAGTTCAAATTCATTCAATCTAATTGTCTGCTCTCTCTTACATTAAGGCCAAAAATGAATATCAACCATTTTTATTAACTATGACCCTCATTTATTAAATACTAAAACCTGTTAGTGCAAAATACTTCAAAATGGGGTGATATGTATTTTGCAATTTTATGCATAAAAGTTATGCAGATAAAGTTATAACAGTCTCAATAAATTATATGAATTTCTGTCAACTCTTGCATTAATTTGAGAACTTTCATTCTTAGCCATGAATACTAAGAACTCTGCAGTATGATCTAATAGGGTAGTAATCATTACCACAATAAGTGTAAACTATAATGAACAGGCATTGTTACAAAGACAGAGCACTGGCATGGAGAATGAAGAAAGACTGAGAAATTATTATGAGTTTCTATGAGAGCCAGATATTTTGCCTCCAAAATTTTTATTTGATTTGGTTTCATGTTTCTGAAATTTTGTTTCCTGACCTTCAGGTTTGACTAAGCTCCATACTGATTTTTCAATGTCAAATGACCAGGAAATATTTTCAAATAATTTTACTTATTTAAAATAGGAACATAATACAATTTAAATATTTAAAACATTTCTAGTTTCAACTTTATCAGTTATTACTGGGGAAAGGCATAAAATACATAATATTAGGTTATTTTCTTTCAGGGATTTGTAATATAGCTAAGAATATAAAACTAAAGAAAATAGATACCTCTAAACTGGCTCCCCAAGAAAAGATAGTGAAAAGTTAGATAACCAGTGCACACAGTGAGATAGAACTAATAAGTTCCAGCATTCTGGAAAAGAGTGGGAAGGCCATAGTTTACAATAACTGTTGTATATTTTATGAATAACAAAGAGCCACTCAGTGGCTCAAACACAAACTAATAAAAAAGAGATAAAAATAGTAATTATTCTGAATTGATTTGTACATGTTACATACATGCATTAAAATCTTATATCACCCCCCCAAATTACTTGGAATTATTATATATTAATAAAAAAACTTTACAATGTTTAAGGACATGAAAATGTTAAGGAACAAAGCTGTGACATTTGGGAGGCATGATCAATGAAGCTGTGAAGGTTAGACTTAGGATGAGGGTTAAGAGAGAGGGAGTGTGTGATAAGGTTCAGAGTCAGAAGAGTAAAAGCAAAAAAAAGAAGATGGAGGGAAAATGGTCCTGATTCTACTCCACTAAGCTGAAATGGAGCACCTTTCTGTCTATCACAGTCCTTGGGGAGAGAAGTGCGTCTAAATCACCCAACCTTTTTCCTTCTTAACAAGCTTTATTTCTCACTTATAAAAATGAATAAAAAGCAGAAAATAAATAAATAATAAGTGTTGATTAAAAAAGAAAGATCAGGAAAAAATGAAAAATCTAAATATTGTCTCAGTGTTATTCATTAAAGAAAAAAATGAAATGACTGTATATGATGTAGATGTGTCAACATAGGGGAAAGATTCAAACCTTTAAAATTTTCTAAGTTTTTACTTCTCACTAATTTGCCAGATGTCCTAATTCTGATCCTCAATTGATTCATCAAAATGTGTATTGAATATTAAGACCCCTAAAATTTCTTTCTGGTTTAAGGTCATAGGTTTCTGTCATATATGTTTCAAAATATTGGCAACATAGTATTATTTTTTTAAAATTCTTAGATGAGATTGTAGAATTTAAAATAATACTGCACTTACATTTTGGCCCACTTATCTAATTCTTCTTCAAGATATGTTTTAACCATTTTTGGTTGAAGGCCAAGAGAATGTCCCAAGAAGTAGATGGCATCATCATTCTTATTCACTAAAGATAAATCAACTGAAACAGAAAAAAGTCCAAAAAAATCTTATTGAATTAATTAATCCTTTCATTTGGTATTATTAATACAGTACAAACAGTTAATATAATTAACTCCAAGAAAGCCAATAAATAACCTACAATTACTCTCCAATGAAACATCAGGTTCTCCAAAAAGTAATTAACCTTTTGTATTTACATATTAAAAAAATTTAATTCTATACAGGTACTTGCAGGGATATTTCACATTTATTGGGCTATGTGACAAAAGACTGAATTAACAATTTCTCCCAAATGTAAATAGCCAAAGGTACTAGAGTAAAAAACGGAAATTTACAGGAAATCTGTTAGCCAATCTAATTGTGTTAGAAGGGTACCATAATTTAGGCAAGTATTAACATTCTAAATTAATGAGTGTTATAAATATGGGAATTTTTTAAAACTTGATTACATATTTGAAGTAGATATATTGGATTGATGTATTTTATAGTATATTTATACATATATTAGTACTGAAAGATATATAGGCAATGATATTTCTATATCTATTTCTTATTCAAATAAATCAAAACTTTTATGATTTGTCCATCATATAACTTACCTTTGACTGCAACATACCCCAAAACAGAACAAAACAAAAACAAGAAAATAATTCACACACTTAAAACTTAGTCTAGGACTTGTACATGTTTACAATCTCAACTGTAAACCATTGAGATTTCTTTTCTATGCAGAAAAAAACTAAACTTTTTACTGATATTTCACCAGAGTCACTGAACATTGTACTTATTTTCAAATCAAGGTATTTAATTAAAACCTTAAAGATATTTTTCAAGGCATATCATCTATTTCAACCTGATCATTTTCACAGATATTGCACCTATTATTCACTGGCATCTTTTAAACCTGATGCAATAGAAGAGGTGTTGACATTGTCCACATGCTCAAGTTGAATTCCTTTATAGCCATTGGCTGACCTAGAGAACAAATATCAAAAGGTTTTATTTGAAACTTAGAGCTTTAACTTGAGGTACCATGACCCAACATTCAATTTAGAATCCACGTAAGTACAGTGTGAAGGCTAAAATCATTCTGTTCATGCCAGTCACATCTATGAGTTAGGATGAGGCAGCCATCCACTGGGCTTCTCTCTCTCTCTCTCTCTCTCTCTCTCTCTCTCTCTCTCTCCTCTCTCAGCATTTCTAGAAAGACATACTTTCTAAGAGAAAAGAGAGCATGAAGTTAACAATTTAAGGGGAGTTGAGACCTGAGTTTGGGAAGAACAACTTCTCATCTTCAGTACAACCTGTAAACAGTGTCTCAGTTAATTATAACAAACAGTATCTATGGTATCTTTGGGCCATGTGTAGTCAAGAGACAACAGTAAAGAGCTCTTGAGGGTGTTGAGAGTATACTTAGCAGCTGTACAAAGAATATATCATGATGCACATAAATTCTTATAATTATGCAGATCAAAGTTGCTCTCCCTCTTTCTCCTCTTTTTTCCATTCCTTGCTGTTTGCTACAGCCAAGCTACTCTTTCCATATTCTGTATGAAGAGGAAAGAAAGTAAATTGAACCTAGCATTCCCAATCTGTGATCAGACTTACATTTATCAGCTTCCAGATATTCTGGAATGATAGGATTCATTCTCTACACATTCCATGATTACTTAGGGGTTGTTCTGCATTTGTGCCAGGAGGATCCCCTTACTTAAAATATTTCTTTTTTGCTGGACCTTGGGTCACCCATGACTTCAATGCTTCCCATCCTCAAGATTCTCATGTCAATTATTACCAACTGTCACATCAGTATTACTGATAATCACCTGCTACTTCCTCATAGCTAGAGTCCAAGTGGAGAATCTTATAGAACACATCCATGTCTTTCTTGTCCCCCATGTCCTTATGAATAGCCTTTGAGAATATGTAGGCTCTGTATGCATGTATATTTCCAAGTTGTTCAGTACCAATGACCTGAACTTGCACAACTTGACAGATTGTGGTTCTGATGCATGACTTGTTATTTAACAGTCTAGTTTTGTAGACTAAAGAGAGTCCTTTACTGAAGTACTTATTTTGTTTATTCTTCCAAATCCAATTTGGGATTGATGGACATCAGAAATTCTTGTTCCCCAGGATATTTTATGTCATCTGACAAATTTTATTTTTTATTATACAGAGAGCTTCATGTTCTCCCAAAATAATTGATATAGGAGAGGTATAACTCCCAACTTATCAGATGTCAGATATGCTGTGTTCTTGTTCCCTGAAATCAAAGAATGAATTTAAAAGAGCCAAAGAAGTTAAGAGTAGGAAAGATTTATTGAGAGATAGCTCCTGAAAGACAGGAGGGGTCCCGAGTCCCTTTGTCAGGGACATTTATATAGCAAAGTCACAATGTGGATAAAAAGTTGGTCAAACTACAACCTATAAGATTACAAGTATAGCTGCTTAGCTAATATTGATCTAATAGGGAAATGAGTCTTGTAGCAAGGGTACATGGAAAGAACAAAGACATTTTTGGTAAAGAATGGATCAAGATGCTCTAGTAACCCACCTGGGGAACTGATGCCTATCTGGACTTCCTAGACCAGTTGGTGCTAATTACAGAACAATTCCTAGTTACTATTTTTGCCCTGGAAATGCTGGAGATAGTATGTAAACAAACATGCTGTTTGAGTGTTGCTTGGGGTAAATTGTTAAGTGGTTAAGGGAAAGGAAAGAAAAGAAAGGAAAAGAAAAGAAAAGAAAAATGAAAATAAAAGAGAAAAATCATTCTCTGAAGATAAACAATACCATTGCAGATGAGTGAACATGAAATTGTTGCTGATTGTATTATAATTAGTAATAGAAAGCATACAGATTCCAGCTGTGTTTGCTTCATTTATGTTTTAATTATTTGAAGCTCTGATATTACCAAGAAGAGCACAAAAATCTAACATGAATTTTTTGGTAAGAACTAATTGTGAAATTGTCTCTATCTTAATAATTGTGGTACTAATGTGATTGCCTGTGGTTCTTGGTAATTCTTAATTCCAGTTTAGCAATTTGGAGTAGCACTTCACAGAGATACATGTTTATATCTACAAATCTGAGATCATAGTCCTCTGAGGAATTAGAATAGGTCAGAATTTATCAGTATGCTGGGCACAGTAATGCCCACCTATCCTCCCAGCTACTTGGGAGGCCGAGGTAGGGAATACCTTGAGTCCAGTAGTTTAAGAACAACTTAGGCAACACAGAGACACCCTGTGCTCCCACCAAAACAGTAAGCAAAGCAAAGTTTTGTCACTAGGCAAATAAGCCCCAGAAGCAAATCAATGCAGAAAGGTCTTATTTATTTTTGTTATGTAACACATTGCATCGAATGTCAAAACTCTCTAGTCATCAAAATGAAAGACCAGTATGCTAACATGTTCTGCTTTGAACAGATGCTTTCAAACAAACACTCTTCTTTTTAATATAGCTTAGATTTAATAGGCATTTTTTTTCTTAAACTATGGAAACCTTTTATTGTCTTTTGTGCTTCTGTGGAAGTCAGATATAACTTGACATGTTGCAGCACACTCTGCTCTGACATACTGAATGTAACTAAAATATGTTGAAGATTCTGAAAAATATAAATAGGTACAAACAGTCTTACACTTGTGGTGGTTCAACTTAGAGTGTTTAGATTTCACTTATAGTTTTTACGATTTTATTCAAAGTTTTTGAACTTTATGATGGTGTAAAAATATAAATTTTCATTAGAAAGCCCACTTCACATTTGGATTTTTTCCTGGCCTAGAGACATACTCTTAAATAATTCCAGGCATGACCTGTGAGCCACAGCTCCTATCAGCCATGCGACCAGGAGGGCTCTGTATTCTTAGACTGTGCCATTCAGTAGGTTAGATGCATTAAATGCATTTTTGACTGAGGATATTTTTCAGCTTTTGATGAGTTATTTTATATAATCCTATCATTAAGTCAAACGGAATCTATGTATTGGAACCAAAAATAAAAGCAGAACTTGAAATACAATCTAACTGGTATTAAGTTTCAAGTTTTCTTCTAATCTTTTGGAAATGAAAAAACAACCTAGTTTTAACAGTCAGAACCCCAAACTATGAACTGAGTGTAGACAATAAGAATACCACGTGATTTTCACTATCCCTACTTCCGGTCAGAAGGGGAGTAGATCCCTACACCTGACAGAAAGGAATCTTTGTTTTGGGGGGGGGGTTTGGTACCGGGGATCGAACTCAGGTCCTTGCTCTTGCGCAACAGGCGGCGAAACCACTGAGCTAAATCCCTGGCCCCATGAAAGGAATCTTATAGGGGTTTTGTTTTGGGTTTTTTTTTTCTCTGTCCTCTTCCATGTTAGCCATTATCCAGACCTTTGGCAGTCGTAGTGTTATACCAGCCACAGCCCACAGGCACCCTAATTTCTGAGGAACAGAGGCATATGGGATGATTTGTTCTCTTTCTATCTTCTTGCTTCTGGGTACCAGAGGCAAGTTTAGTGTCAGGACATCAGAACACAAGGGCAAGGCCTATGTTTTCCATCTACAGGAACATCAACATAGGACTCCCGTGAGCAGGAGAATGTGAGTCCTGTTGCTGAGAAGGAGAGGGAGCTCAAGGACATGACCATATGAAGTTGGACATGAGCTACTGAGCTTGCACCTACACTGTGTTTGAATGGATCAGAACTGAACAGTATAACAGACACACGGAGAACTGAGCCTAGTTCCAAACCAGTGACTGACTGTAATATACACATAATAAATCCAAACAGAATTGGAAAGATTTTGAAAATTAAAAGCTTACAAGCCAATTTTCCTGGGTGCTGGCAAAGTTCTGCTTCTTGATCTAGGATCTTGTTACACAGATTTACTCATGTTGTAAAATCCATAGTGATGTCTGTGTATTCTTAGCCCTCAGGAGGCTGAAGCTGGAGGATTACATGTTTAAAGCCAGTCTGGGCTACAGAGTGAGACCTTGTTTCAAACAAGCAAAGAAACAGCAACAAAAATC